CCCCCAAATTGGGCAGGACCCCCCCCCTTAAAACTAGTCCTCCCACCACTCTACGGTCCTCCACTCACTCAATGGTCCTCCCAGAACTCTATGATCATCCCACAGCAACTCTACGGTCCTCCCATAACTTTATGGTCCTCCAACAACTCTATGGTCCTCCCACAACTCTATGGTACTTCCTAGCAACTCTATGGTCCCCAACAACTCTGTGGTCCTCCCACAACTCTATGGTACTTCCTTAGCAACTCTATGGTCCTCCAACAACTCTATGGTTCTCCCACAGCAATTCTGTGGTCCTCCCGTAATTCTATGGTCTTCCCACAACTCTATGGTCCTCCCACAACTCTGTGGTCCTCCCACAACTCTATGGTCCTCCCGCAACTCTGTGGTCCTCCCACAGCTCTATGGTCCTTCCACAGCAACTCTGTGATCCTCCCACAACTCTATGGTCCTTCCACAGCAACTCCACGGTCCTCCAACAACTCTATGGTCTTCCCACAGCAACTCTGTGGTCCTCCCGCAACTCTGTGGTCCTCCTACAGCTCTATGGTCCTTCTACAGCAACTCTATGATCCTCCCACAGCAACTCTGGGGTCCTCCCGTAGCAATTCTATGGTCCTCCCGCAATTCTGTGGTCCTCCCACAACTCTATGGTTCCCCCACAGCAACTCTATGGTCCTCCCGCAACTCTATGATATCCCCGTGCTCCGGCCACGCCCCCTTCAGCCGCGCGCCCGTTTACGACATCGCCCTCCTCTCTTTACGACGGCAGCGCTCGGCGGCCCCGCGGTTGCCGGGGGCGCTTTACGGCCCGGCGATGGCGGAGGGCGAGCGGGCGGAGAGCGGCGACGGTCCCGGGCGGCCCCCGAGCCCCGGTGGGCAGCAGCGGGCCGAGGCCGAGGCTGAGGCGGAGGCCCTGAAGACGCGGGCGAACGAGTTTTTCAAAGGTAGCGGGTGTGCCAGATTGGGAGCCATGAAGGGGAATGGGGGAATGGGGGCTGCCAGATAGGGAGCCATGGAGGGGAATGGGGGAATGGGGGCTGCCAGATAGGGAGCCATGGAGGGGAATGGGGGGTGCCAGATAGGGAGCCATAGAGGGGAATGGGGGAATGGGGGGTGCCAGATGGGGAGCCGTGTGGGGGTATAGAGGGATGGAGGGGTGCCAAATAGGGAGCCACGGTGGGCTGGGAGTGGAGGAATGGGCTTGCCAGATAGGGAGCTGGTTGGGGGAGGGTGCTGCCAAATAGTGAGCCAGATGGGGGTA